CAGATACGTTGTTTCGCACTTTGGCCATCGATATGTCAAACTAAATCGGATTTGTGTTCGTTTGAAGTTTACCATTCAAAAACCGAGACTTATGGGGGGGGGAGGGGGTAAAGTTTTGATCTGCGAATATTCAGGGCGTAAAATTTCCGGTTCATAATTGGACGTATTTATGCGAAATGGAACTATGCAAGTGGGAAGATGGGGTGAGCTCGTTAATGCTCGGGCCATAAGAATGAACGGAGCTTTAAAAGCGCCAGTGACGTCAGTGGCAACGTACGAGGNGTATCGCAGATACGTTGTTTCGCACTTTGGCCATCGATATGTCAAACTAAATCGGATTTGTGTTCGTTTGAAGTTTACCATTCAAAAACCGAGACTTATGGGGGGGGGAGGGGGTAAAGTTTTGATCTGCGAATATTCAGGGCGTAAAATTTCCGGTTCATAATTGGACGTATTTATGCGAAATGGAACTATGCAAGTGGGAAGATGGGGTGAGCTCGTTAATGCTCGGCATAAGAATGAACGGGGCTTTAAAAGCGCCAGTGACGTCAGTGGCAACGTACGAGGAGCCACGACGGGTAGATCAGTGGCGGTACTCTTTAACTCATGAGCCCTGTCTACACGGCTCTTGTCACATGCCCACGGCTCACGAATTAGCGCTTAGTTCCTATCAATTTAATTGAAAATCCCGCTTTTCTAGTTTCTCAAAAGGAACTATACCCACTTTTACATTGTTTCTTGGGCAGGTTCTATGAGCACACCCCATCTTTCCTCTTCCACATAGTTCCTTTTAGGATAAGTACGTCCAATTAATTGTACGCCCTCAGTAAAATTGACTCAATGACATAAATGATCAAAACCACTCAAGACCTCCTCTTCAGACATTAGAAAGGGATCTCCATCATAATCTCAAAATCCGATTCTTCGACCATACTCGACGAAAATCGTCGCACTGAAAATTTTGTCCGCTCGGACTGAAGTCTCTTTTTCCGAGACCGATCACATATTTGTTTTCTTTTGTGGTGAATTCACCTTGGGGGAAAAACGACGGTAAACAGTGCGCGGTAATGGCGAGATGGTGGCAAGGCGATCGCCAGTAAATCGTCATTCTTCCGACGTGAGAGCGAATCTCCATTTCCAAGTGGGCCCTGAAAAGCATGGAGTCAATCGGGGAAGAGGGCTCATACGAAAATCGAGTTACGCCCTTACGTCAGAGGAACGACAAAATGATAAGCCTGGGAGAGAGCTTTTGCGGGACACGGACTGGGGGCGGAGGGCGGGGACCTGAAATTGTTGTGGATGACGCAAAAAAGACTTTTAAGTGCCGGATATACAGCCCTCCGCCCTCGCCCCTCCCCGCCCCACCCTCCCTCCGCTTCACGCTACATCGTCAATGCGTCCGTCCTACGGTTGCTTTCTGCGGTCGGAGCCAAAGAGCGGGTACGCCAGCCGTTTCTTCGCCTCGAATCGGAAGCGAAACCGGAGAAACATGAATCACATAATTGAATTGCGCTGTTTCAAAATCATGGCTCGTGATTTCTGACGATGCAAAGGTGGACCCAGACACCTCGAACGTAAGGGGGTCCGGGGGGCTTCTCCAGAAAATTTTCGAAATTTCAAAGTACAAAATCTACACTGGAAAAAAAACAAGGAACGGTTTATGTTAAAACAATGATGAGATATATTGCGATGCAAGCTATGAATCTAAATTCTGACCCAATACTCTTAAAACAGGAAAAAGCATCTAGCGTCGAGAACTGAAATCTACGTTACGGACTCCAAATCGGTTTGTTTGTGGCTTTTGTCTGGCTCTTTCTTCACACACAATCAAAAATGTCATGGAAAACGAAAAATTCAGATGCTCGTGTTTTAGTTTCAAATGTTGAGCCTCTCAAAATGATCTTGCAACAGGGCTCGTCTTTTCGAACTTTCACCTATCTGACAGCCCGTAATTTGGCATTATTTATGGCATATTTATGATGCGGCTTCATAATTCAATGGTGCATATCTAAGTATCTCGCACGGAAAGGTTGTGTTTTTGTCGTGGTTTACTCGTGGATGATCTGAGTCAGATATCGACATCGTTATTTTTAGCGGCTTGTCACTTTGTCCGTTGCGAGCAATGAAAATCCTTAATCATAGCTTGCAATTACCCCCTTTAGTTCTGATTCCTCCAACCTGTACAGACGTAAAAAGGAAGTTAAATTTGGATGTCAAATATTTACGCTCTGCGATGTCTTGAGACAGATGATACGGATAAAGATAAATTATTCATCGAGTCAAAATATATGTACCGAACAGGGCCGGATTTAGGGGGTGGCCACGTGGGCTGCGGCCGGGCTGCCCATGGAGGCAAATTTGGAGGGCAGCAAAGTTTGCAATTTTTTAAACGTAGGTATAAAAAAAATCGGATTCAGACGAAAAATTACAAAAGAAAAAAGGCGACAAAATGTCTCATTTCCTGAGAGTATAGTAATTTCTAATTTTGTCGTCTTTCGGTGATACAAGTAGTGACAGCGCACCTTTAATTAGTCGAGTTAAGAGAGAAACCGAACACACAATTTGGCCTGAAGCGGCGCGGCGCAGAGAGCAATGATGACGAGGACTTGAGATGAAAAGGAGAAGCCCTCCTTCGGCGCGGCGGCGGTCGGCATGTAACACATATTAGCGCCCACAAAAGTGCATGGATACTTCACGCATTGCGTCAAACACAGTGCGGTCAACAGCGGTCGGCGTGAAACGCATAGCGCCTACAAGACTGCATGAATACTTCACGCATTGCGCCAAACACAGTGCGGTCAACGTGGCGCGGCGGCGGAAGTTAAAATTATTAAACCACATTTATGTTTTTCTTTCATAATTTTTTAGTTCATTTCTTACAAACGAAAGGCCTTGTCCACACAGAGATAGGTTTACGGAACTGAACTATCGCGCTAAGTTCCGTAAAAAATGTGTCCAACACGAGTGAACGCGTCTTATGCACCCTTCCCCCACCAGCACGTTCACTCGATGGTTTTTAATGTTTCAAAACGAATAAGAAGGGGGCGGCAAAATACAGACGGCCAAGTAGGTAAATCCGGCTCTGGTACCGACGTTGTTTTCAATTAGATTTCTCGGCAGTTCCTCGTCTACAAAAAGGTGAATCATTGAATGCGCATTTTTACTTCAGAGAAAGCGATCAGTTTCAGTTGGTGCGAAAGTTTCTAAATTACACAACCCTGCAACTTTTGAGTCATACGAGGGCTGTTCCGAAATTGCAAAGCCCTCTTTTATTTCTTTAGGAGATTTCAGCTGGGACAACTTCGTAGAAATGTGTTTGTAGAGCATTTTTCAGCTTTCCAACGAGCTATAGTTTTTTATTAAATTTGGATCGGCGATTGCCAAGATATTGAGGTTAATGGTGTGATCATTTGAACCCGCGGAGTGAAGAGGTGCGGGTGGCAAAACCTCAATAACTTGGCAACCGCTGATCCAAATTCAAAAGACTGTAGCTTGTTGGAACGCTAAAAACATTTCCTACAAACACGCCTCCTCAGGTTTGTTCCAGTTGTAATCCTTTTGGAGATAATAAATAGGGAAACTTACTTTTGGAACAGCCCTCGTGTCATATTGTGAGAGGAAGTTGGATTGATTTCATTCCTATCGTTGTTACTCTATCGATTTTTGTGCCTAAAATGTCAATTATATGATGAGCCCTAGAATGCGTGTGCATTCTGATAGAGCTCAGAATTCATGGAAAAATGGACTTGTAAAGTTTCAGCATGGACCGATTCGTATACTTTAGCGCTGAGTTTGGGGAAAATGTCTAAAAATGTCAATGATAGAATTTCTTGTGAACTTACAAAGTTACCTTTTTTGCAACGAATAAGTTCCAACGTTTCTGTTTTACCGTATTCAAAAGCTTATGGTTGCTTGTATCCCTGCCGAGAATCGACAAAACAGTCGAGTACGAATTCTAAACGCTGAATTATGGATAATTCCCCCCTTCCCAGTCCAATTTATGAGAAATTAATTTTGGAATTTTTTCTCCCGAAAAGCTCCACATTATTTACCAATAAAAATCAATAACCAAGTCATTTGAAAGCAAAACGCATCAATTAGGTTTTTTTTTTTTTTTTCATGCGTCCAGCCGGCACGAAATAATAACCTGGTTGAAGTAGCCAACAAAACTATTTTACTGATTTGGCATCATTTGCTCAACTTCGGAGGCAATGGACCATTAGACAAGGTACGAATTCGAGCACTCTGATACATGATTCTTAACCAGAATTTCACGTAGAACACGATTCGTGAAACGAAAATTACCGAAACAAACTCCCAACGAAGATATTAACATTTTTATTTCACATTGGTTACGAGGAATTCGAACTGCCCGCTCAGAAGAAACTCAAAGCTCCACGTGAGTCAAATCGCGCACTACAACGGTTTCAGCAAGCTTCTCAATCGAGCAATGTTCATTCCCCACCATGAGCTGTTCAAACTATAAGCAATTTACTATAGCTGAGCTGAAGCGTCAAAATTGAGGTTGCCAGATTTTTATATCGCAGAGACTGTCATCATAACGTTCAGCGCGCGATGTGAATCACGTAGAGCATTGAGTTTTTATGAGCGGGTGGTTTGAATTCATGCATCAAGATTTATTAAACATCCTCGTAAGGAGTTAATTTCGGTGATTTTCGTTGTGCGCATCGTGTTTTACGTGAAATTTTAATTAGGTATCATGTATCAGGGGGCTGAAATTCGTACCTTGTCTAGTGGTCTATTACTTCATGGGGGAAAGTAAAAATCAACATTTTGCGAAAGTGCGCTCGTTGAGAACAAGTCCGTCATTTTAAAAATTCGCGGGCTCTGCGAAAATAGATGCCTGTCCTCTGATTGGTCAATACGGCTTGCATTTTATGTGTGCCGCTCTGTGCTGATAAATACAGTAAATATACAGCTCAGCTAATCATTAAGTATTTGCATAAAACAAAATCAGTTGCTCAACCTGGCAACGCTTCCATGAAAAAGATAAAGTGGCAAAATCGTCAAAATTATCTGTCATTTTCGCTGAATAATTTTTAGTGGACGTAAACCTCCGAGAGCACATATTGCAAAATGTTATTCGTCAAATTATTCATGCATTTAAAATCAGGAAAATCTATTCCGTTTGATTCTTGTCCTCTTTTTTACACCAATTTTAAGGTTATGTTTAGATTCTCCGGATGATGTGGATTAGGTACTCATACTTCGTTCAACTTTTAATTTATTTTATGCCCCCAATTAATTACGCCAATTCTATTGTCACTACTTTTTGAATGAATCACTACCGTTATTAACCACACCTCCTCATATTGAAACTCTTAGTCATGTGTTTATCTCGCGCTTATCAGTGGTAACAGTCCTCTTGTGATGAAAACCACCCACCCCTTTGTAGAGTTAAGATCCTGATGATTCAGTTCTCGTTTACTCTATCCCTTTCTTTTCCTGTGATAGTGGACCTGTAGTTCGTAAATCAAGTGTTCCTAAATTTAGTGATAACTCAGCCTCATGCTAGGAATGCAGATTGTTATGGCTCCAACGATCGCTCTCTAGTTTCCATTTTTAAGCAGGATACAATGACTATGTGATTCAGCAAACCTGTTTACTAACTTGAAGATTCATCCTGGCTCAGCATTAAACCTTTGCCTGTATTACTATGTATTCATCAAATTTTGGATCAATTAATGCTTCCGGAGGTGTCAATGAAAGTGGCAACTCTGAGGCGCTCGATTACAATGTCAGTAGTGGAGACAAGATTTCACTGCGGCCAACCAGAAGCAGAAACGTGCTCTCATCAGTTCTTGGTGCTTGTGGCTTTGATGGAGGTAGAGAACGGTCATCCTCTGGAGGCTATGTGGAGTTCGGCAACATTGGCGAAGAAAATTCAAGCCGAACGCTGGGCACATTCAGCGGTGTCTTTAGTCCCGTAGCCCTGTCAATGTTCAGTGCTCTTCTTTTCCTCCGAGTTGGTAAGTAATGGTATTCAGTTTATTTTCCAGCCCAGTGCCTCTGAATACCAATGTTGAAACTTTTTTTCATAATGAGAGAAGAAAATTCAGAGAAAATGTCAGTTATAACTGTCGATTAGTTTTCCCTCAAAAAAGTAAAACACAAGAGGAGATTTACTGCGTCACTCTCTGAAATTTGCATTTTTCAATTTCAGCCATCGATATTTAGTTTTGATCCAACAGTCTTTACCAAAACCGATATCAAGAAATATGTCTCTTAGTCTGTTGGAGTTGAGGGACCAAGAGATGAAGTATTCTCCAAGTAAGGTAGTTGTTATTAAGTAAGTTAAAGGAAATTCTGTATCAATCATTCATGCAAGCTCTGTGTTAAAACCATAGTAAACTGTTAGTGAGTGTAAGGACCATGAGGAAACAGGTGTTTTCTCTCGTGAAACCTAAAAGTTTACGTTAAGAAAAATACTTGAAAAAAAGTGGGATTCAAGTAGAGATGTGGGAGAACAGCGTAAGAAAGAATGTCGGAGAGGCAGGATTTGATCAGCGGCAGTGCGGAGAATTGACACAAGACAGGATAAAATGGCGTGTGTTTGTTGATGCAGTTATGAAATTTTGAGTCTCTGATATTACTCAAAAAAAAAGAAGAAAAGACTCTAATGACAATGTCTGTTTGAAAAGCTTACACATTATTATGTAAGGACTTAAGCATTAAATTTTCACTAAAAAAAAATATTATGGTGTATTATTTTTATGTTAACAGGTTTCATCGTCGGAAATGCTGGTCTGCTCGTAACTTTATTACAATTTGGAATCGCATACGGGATTCTTATCTTCACAGTATTTTCGATATGCGCTATATCAACCAATGGGCCTGTAGAAGGAGGAGGCGCTTACTGTATCCTTTGACTTTCTCTGATGTCTTTGTCTTTTTTCCCCCTACAGCTCATTCTTCAATTTAATATTTTAGATTGCTTTCAAGGGATGTAATAACATGTCTAAGTCAATGACACACTGACATATTTTATCCTTACTACTTTCGACAAGCTTTATTGGTTCCTCTGAAAATGCGTTTTGTATCAAAAGGACTTAAGCAACATCTCAAGGCCCATTTGGAAGTTTTCCTCAGCATGACAGCATACTCTATTACAATAATTACTGTATAATATAATAATCATAGAATCCATGCTTTTGCTGTGGATGTTGGTCAATTAATTTAAAGATAACTCTAGGAAATTGACTTTTCAATCAAATTTTCTCTTAACTTTTCTCTTAGTCATGATAAGCAGAGTACTCGGTCCAGAGTTAGGGGGCTCCATTGGCACCTTGTTCTTCTTGGCAAATGTTGTTAGTAGTGCATTGTATATCGTTGGTTGCACAGAGGGTCTCATCGATAACTTTGGACCTTCAGGTATTTATGTTGTCTTTGAAATTTAAATCCATTTTTCATAGTAATTTTTTAGTCCTGAATCTTCTTTCAGTGTTCTCTTTGGAAGTATGTCAACCGATATACTTTTAATTTGAGCTGACCTGAAGATACACATCTTTTCCGAACAGTATTGATTATAAGGAAATTATTAAATCAAATAATATTTTAGTCAACTTTTTTTTTCCTTTTTTGTTCTATGATTGTTTGTAAATTTTGCCTGTAAGAATAATTCTGAATTTTAGAATTGGTGGTCTAAACAACACAATTGGAGCATGCCCTCATGCGGCAAAGGTTTTTCACAAATTCTTAAAAAGTACAATTTTAAGTTTACTGAATTGCTTTTATTTTTTAATGATGCATTGTTGGCATAGCTAGGGTGGTCTAGACCCTAGCTCCTTAGAAAAATCATGGCTGCCACCGCACGTAGCCATAGCTGCTCAATACATTTAGACCTCTGTGAAGCATAAACGGACACTTTGCTCCCCAACAAATATTTTGTAGCCACAAGAACTATAATATGATGTCACCATTATTTGAAAAAGCTGCTGGATAAATGATATGTAAAGCAAGGAATATTTGTTGTCCCCTTTTTTTAGACAATAAATTCGATTTTTTTTTCTGAGATAATATTTTATCTTACCTCTTTTTGATGAACAGGATATCTTGTAAGTGAGGAGGGCATATTGCCGGATGGACCATGGTGGAGATTCTTCTACGAATCAATGCTGAATTTGCTGAACCTATTTGTCTGCCTCATTGGTGCTGGAATGTTTGCTAAGACCAGCGTCGTGATCCTACTTGTTGTTGTGATCTGTCTTTTATCTGTGATTTTTAGTTTTTGCACTCAGTCAGCAATGCAGGTTTGTATCCCTTTTTTCAGAAAAATTGTAGTTTCCCTGTATCTATATTTTCCTAAAATTTTAATATGATTTTGCTTACAATAGATGAATTTAGTTCATGATATTTTTAACCGAGAATGAGCAGGAAAACCCGGGATTCATCAGAGATTTATCAGAAAATCTGCTCTAGAAACTGGGAATCTCCTCTTTTACTGCTCAGAGACCACTCTGTTTTCAAATTTTTTGGATATTTTAAGTTAGCACCTATTGTTAGCAAGATTTATGTTATTGCATCTGAGTCACATTCTTGACCTTTTGAACATCCAGAGGAAAACAGTATAGCACCATGAAAGTAATAATATTATAGTTTGAAGTCCATTGCCTGTAGTCTTTACCTGTCAGAAAGAAGAAAAAACGGGTGTTTGAAGGCAAATGAATGTTGAAATAGTCAGATACATGGTATTCTCCAACATTTTCCTTTAAAATTTTCTCTTTTGTGTAACTACCTACCTGTCACAAAGTATGATAACAGAAGAGATAATAATTTTGAGTCTTTGTGGCACAAATAGCGGACAATATTCTAGCCCTAATACATCTTGTTTCACCTCAGCTATAACTAAATTAGCCAATGACTGATTCATCAATTAGAGAACATGTACTGATCAACTTATTGATGGTGTGATTCCTAAATGGTGTATCTTGGTTCGCAATGTTGCAGGTTCCCTGTGATACTTCATAATTTTAATATAAATCTAGTTACCTTTATCTCTTGGAAGCTTTTGTTTTTGTTTTTCTTCTCCCTCTGTGTGCAATATTCCGTGAAGATTTTAAAGTATGATGTTGATGTGTTCTCTATTTGAAAGGATGAAACAATTGAGAAAATTTAAAAAAAAACCATAGTGATTAATACCTATATGTGGTTTGGGAATTCTACCATTTTTTATTCTCAAATATTAAAAAAATGTTCTCTCAAAATTGTAAAGTTTAAATTTCAACACAATTTTTCCCAAGCAATTGATGTTAACCATCTTAATTTTTTTCAGATTCCTATACCATCTGCCAACACGCTCATAAATGGAACCAACCACACTACAGATATCACATACACGGGATTAAACTTTACAACCTTCACAGAGAACTTGTTTCCTAAGTATGGAGAAGACTATACCTCACATGGAGACATTGTGACTTTTGCATCTGTGTTTGGTGTCCTGTTCAGCGGTGTCACGGGTATCATGGCAGGAGCCAATATGTCAGGTATTTGAAACTTCTTAAATATTTAACTCACCATTCTTCTTTGTTTATTTTATTTTTCAGTTATCTGCACTCTAAAAAGTAATAGAAAGTCTGTTTTTTCTACTCCTTGCATGAGAAGGAAAAGTGAGAAAATCTAAATTAAATACCCTCTGAAAATTTTGAGCTCCAAAAAAACGTTAGTCTGCCACTGTAACATTCTAGGATTCTCAAAAAATTGTTACTTGAAAGTTACAAATAAGTTGAAATCAACTTATTTGTAACTGTCATTGAAATTTTTTACCAAAACTGATTAGTGCATCAGCCTTTGCTTACCTTCCATAATTCAAGAAATTGAGTATCCAGAAAAGCTAAACTTTCCTTTAAAATTCGAAAAAGTTCCACTTGAGCAAGCAAAGAACCGGCCAGTTACAATGGACCACTCGACAAGGTACAAACTTAAGTACTGCGCAACTTCTAATAGTTTCTCCTTTCAAAATTCAGCAAAGAAAGTGAATCACACAGTGGGATGTCTGAAAATCAACTCCAAGTATCTACTCTCAAGTTTTCACAATTAGCATTGGTCAAATCCTATACTTATAAGAATACGTCCTTTATATAATTCATCAACTACTTGATCTGTGTCAAAAATACCTGTTAACATAATATATTGTTCAAGAATTGATTTACAAACCTCCTATGTGTAAGTCGTTTTTTACTTATGCTTTTGAAGAGAAAACCTTTGACTTTTTTTCTAATACATGAGTTGTCTCTTGGCCCATCACAGCTCCAAAAAAGTTTAAAATTTGTCAATTTTTTGTTTGTCTTTCATCAGCCTAAAACTTTCTGCCCCTATTTTAAGTTTTGGTTCATCATCTTACAAAACATCGCAGATCTATGAATAGCTTCACAAAATCTTCTTAATGTGTAGGATGATCTTAACCAAAAATGCAGCTGCTCTTAACTTTGTATTATGAGCTTTAATTTGGTGTAATTTTCTGAGAAATTACACCAATCATCGCTATGACCAAAATGGACTCAAATAAGCCTTGTTATTATAAGACTTTGGGTTTTGTCAAATTAGCATTAAAAATTGTTCCAACCCCTTACAATAATTCTATTGTTTTTCAAAAGTCAGAATGTTGAAACTTTTCATTTTCCAGGTGAACTGAAGGACCCTGCTCGCAATATTCCTCGAGGCACAATCTCTGCTGTTATTTTTACTTTGATAGTCTACGTAACGCTTTCAATGCTGACAGCTGCCACCACCACAAGATTTTTACTCCAGAATTCTTATGTATTTCTTTTGCCCATCAACGTCTATCCACCATTTGTGACAATTGGTATTCTTACAGCAACATTCTCTGCATCCCTGTCAAATTTGATTGGATCCAGTCGGGTGTTGGAAGCTTTGGCAAAAGATAATGTCTTTGGTAAGTGGATCTGGGTACATCTTCTCATCAGTTTACTTCATTCAGTGATCACAGTTTTGTCAATCATAGTTTAAAGCCGATCTACCAGATCAGTCTTATGTTTAAAAGCGAAGAAACTTTGCTCGTGGTCCATCTGTAAATGCATTTTTGGCAGCTCACAGGAGTAGATACTTCAATACCTTTAGGTATACTTTTTAGAAGAGCGACTTCAGTCTAGTCAGACTAAAAGATCAAAATCTTAGGTTTAGATTTAGAATAATCCTGCGACAAAAAAAAATAATTTGCAAGCTGTTTAGTTAATTTTGTGTTGATAAATGGCACACAGTTGTATTTTAATCTACTAATCTCAAGTTCTGTAGGTGGTAAACTGAAATTTTCACTGGATATATCTCAAAACTAAATTTTATCACTGCAAACTTCAAACTAAAAACCGCGAAAACTCTGGTTTTGTTTGAAGCTGTATGGTATTCTGTGCCAAAACATCCCCAAACATTTCCTCTGAGGAATGAAACCAATATCTTGGCCCTTGAGTCTCCTTCCCCATAATTGTTTAAATTTTTGCATCATAGTTCTGGATTGCTACATTCAAACATGTTGATACCTGAGACAATTTTGTCTTTCATAAGATTTTTTAGAGAAGACAAATTTATCAAGTCTCTCCATAGTGAATAAGCATCTCAAAAAAAATTTCTGAGAGCTCACTTCTTCTTTCAGGGAGGCTCTTGAATTTCGTCTCTAAAGGGGTCTGGCGGAGTAATCCACTGGCTGCTGTGTTCACCTCATGGCTTCTTGTCGAGGTCATCTTATCCATTGGCTCGCTGAACACAATAGCCCAAGTCAACTCAGTTCTCTTTTTGCTGTCTTATCTGGCAACAAATTTGGCCTGCCTGGGTCTGGACCTCTCCTCCGCACCTAATTTTAGGTCAGTGAGGCTTTAGCTTTGATAATTTTACACCTGCCGACATTCATAAAATTTTCTCTTATCAAGGTAGTACAATCGCAAAATGCAATGCAAAATAGCTGACAATCCGGGTGTCTACAAGGCCGGAATTTCCAGAAAGTCCGGAAATAGTACTGATTTTTTTAGGGGCAGTTCAAAAGTACTGAAAAAGAGCGAAAATTCCGCAAAAAGGTCAGGAATTTTTTTAAATTGTTTGTCATTTTTGTCGTAATGGACCACTAAACAAGGTACGAATTTCAGCATTTTGATACATGTTTATTCACCAAAAGTTCATGTAAAACAAGATGTGCACAATGAAAATTACCGAAATAAACTCCTTCCGAAGATATTTAATGATTCTTGGTGCATGAATTGAAACCACCCGCTCATGAAAACTCAATGCTCTACGTGATTCACATTGCGCGCTAAACGTTATCATGAACGTCTCTGCGATACAAAAATCTAGCAACCTCAATCTTGACGCTTTGGCTCAGCTATAGCAAATTACTTATAGTTTGAAAAACACATGGTGGGAAATGAACATTGCTCGATTGAGAAGCTTTCTAAAACTGTTGTAGTGCGCGATTTGACTCCTGTAGAGCTTTGAGTTTCTTTTGAGCGGGCAGTTCAAATTCCTCGTAACCAATGTGAAATAAAAATGTTAATATCTCCGTTAGGGGTTGGTTCCAGTGATTTTTGTTGCGCAAATCGTGTTCTACGTAAAATTCTGGTTAAGAAACATGTGTCAGAATGCTTAAATTTGTACCTTGTCTAGTGGTCCATTTCAAATTTTTAAAATTTTTTTAATTTCGTCAAATGAAGGTACTGAAAAAGTACGGAATTTTTCTATTGAAGGAGGTACTGAATTTCTTGAGAATGTACTGAAAAAGTACTGTAAAAGTACATTTTTGACCAGCCTGTTTTAGTAGACGCCCTGGCAATGTTTTCACATACTAAGTATTTTTTTCTTTTTCCAGGCCGTCTTTCAAGTACTTCTCATGGGCAACAGCTCTTTTGGGTCTCATAGGAACACTCTTCATGATGTTCATCATCAATCCATTATATGCTTCTTCCAGTATTGCGTTATGTATTTTGCTTGTTTCACTCCTACACCTGTTCTCACCAGCCCGTTTTGCTCCATGGGGCTCCATATCTCAGGCTCTTATTTTCCATCAGGTCCGTCTTTTTTTCCCAATTGGTTTTTTTGGATGTGCTTTTTATTTACTTCATACTATGTTTGTCATATTTTGTTATTTGCTGTACAAAGGAACTAATTTTGTCTACGCTGTTTCAGCATTTCTCTGAACCTTCTTATTTTTCCATGGAAGAACCATTGCTTGAATTTCCTTGAAAATTTTGGTGTCTTGTCTCTCAAGTGTGAAAATAAATCACTGAAAATTTCAGGCTACTTCATGGGATGGTTCTTGTGAAAACAAATAAAATGTCAATGAAAAATACTGAAACAGTGCAGTCAAGATACGTTCCTCTGTGCAGGAGACAGCAATTTGTGTTAATCCATTTGTGATTTATCTGTGTCAAAATTTATCTGTAGGACCTTCTCAGTTGCTTAAAATTTCACCATGGACTAGTAAAAAGAAAATTTTAGTGCCCAATGAGACGTAGGATAAATTGAAGCTCTCTAATGTGACATTCAGGCTCAGCTGATTTGACTAAACTAGACTTGATTGGTTGGAGGTGTGTCAAAACGTAGTCATATTCAATCGAACTCTCAAGTTTTAATGCCACGCACTAAAGTCTAGCAATTTTCTCATTAAATTCCTCATCTCCACCGGAAAAAAAACAACGACACAGGAGAGAGTGCAGAGGAAGCCACATATGTAATATTTGTAGGCCAGTTTTTTGTTTTGTTGAAATTAAATGTGCGCTAATATTTGTATTTCTATTTAGTATCAACTGCAAGGATAGTTAATTTGACATCCAGTAGTTACCAGGTATGACCCTTTATTTTGCAGGTGCGGAAATACTTGTTACTGCTCGACTCTCGGAAAGATCATGTTAAATTCTGGCGACCTCAAATCCTTCTTCTAGTAGGAAATCCACGCTCTTCTTGTCCTCTGATTCACTTTGTTAATGACCTGAAGAAGAGTGGACTGTATGTCTTAGGCCATGTCAAAGTTGGACCCGAATTCAGCAGTCTGGAGGAGGACCCGTTAGTCGACGAGTATCCCACCTGGTTGACATTGATCGATCACCTGAAGGTAAGCACAGATGCCCTTCCTCAATAAAGCGTTATTTTATCATAAAAATAGCCTATTCACAACATAAGTGGACACAAATTTTAAGCTCTTTTCTATCAACAATCCATTATTTATTGTAAACGCAGTAGACTTCAGCTCAACTAATCAAGCTCCACATCAGACTGATGTTGTCGGTTTTAATGCAATGTAGCATCAATATTTTTAGCTTTTTCTTTATTTATAGGAAAAAAAGTGCATGATTATCTTGACTTATAACTTAAGGTCATACAAGGTGATCTAAAAGCCTGGCACCACTAGCACCCGGCATGACCCCTGTAACTTTTTACGGAGTGAGACAGAGACTTGGAATTTTAAGAGTGCTCCTTGGTCAAATAAAACGATTAGTGGAACCCCCCAAAATTTTAAGAGGATTGTCCGAAGCAGGAGCAAAAACCCTAGGGGTTGTAGGGATAATGCGGGATTTTTGGATCACCTTGTAAGTATGTAAATCATTTTGTCTGAGATTTGTTTTGATTGAAAAAGAAATACAAATTTTCTAATAATAACCATTTTTTTTCAATGTTCATTTTAGACAATTCACAAAGTTTAAAGTTGAAATTTTCAAATGGAAAAAAATTATAACCTTTGATTAGTCTCATTACTTTGTCCTCTCTATCCTCAGGTGAAAGCTTTTATCGAATTGACGGTTGCAAAGTCAGTGCGTGAAGGCGCCCACCACCTCATCCGAATATCAGGGATGGGCGCAATGAAACCGAACACTATCGTCCTTGGATTCTATGATGATCTTAATCCACGAGACTTTTTTGCTGACGTGAATTCCCATTACCAGACACACTTATTCCAGCGCTCAGCTATGGACAAAGAGGCGTTCAGTTTGCGCAAGATGAACGAAGTGAAAAAACTCTCGTGCGACGAGTATGTTGCCATCATGGGAGACATTCTCAAGATGAAAAAAAATATATGCGTATGTCGAAACTTTCATATTTTGGACAAAAACTCCATTGCTAATAGGTAAGTGCTAAAACCAAATCTCATGATATATTCTGAACAGGGCTTCTACTATCAAGAAAAACCGGTAAAACAAGGAAAACCCAGGGAATTCAATGTCAACTTCTGGAAGTTATACAATCATTAATACAATCCAATATTTTTTAGAATAGGATTGTGGATTAGTGAAAATGAACAAAAAAGAAGGCAGGAGTAGCCTCTCTAAGTTGTCAGCTATCAGAGCCCCGGATTAGTGATTGTTTTTCACCTCTGTGTCGGATGAGTTGTCGAAGAAAATTACTTTATGATGCCATCACTCTGGGAAAAACCCAGGGAATTTGAAAGTTGAAATAAAGTAGAACCCTGTCTGAATTCAAGAAGGTCATTGCATACTTTAGACTTTTTTGGATATTTTTAATTTTTGAGAAGCAAATGTCAAAAACAAGGAGCCTCCTAGAAAAGAAGCCCCTTTGAGTCGTGACAATCAAGGTGTGCTATTTTTTCAAACAGTCAACACTCAGACAAGCAACGATGAAGCAGCAGATGAATACGACGATACTCAGATGAATGGACTCACCTTTAGAGGCTCATCTTTCAGAAGTCTCAAATGCCATGAAAGTAAGAAGAGAATCAAAATATTTCAAGTTCCTTATGTCAACTGCTTTGGGACAGCTGCCTGTCAAAAACCATCTATCATGCAGCAGTGAAGGCACATTTGCATTTTCTGCCAACCTCATATAGGATGGACTCTATGAACACCAATAGACTTTAATATGTAGTCCTTATAAATTAGTATGACTCAAATTGTTCAATTCATTCTAAATTCACATTCTGTTCCTCTTTAAATCTTTTGTGACAGTATGCTGAGATTCCAATTTGTTGTTTAAGAAACAGAATTGAAAAAAAATTAATATTGTATTATGTTCTCTGAATCTTTTTTTGTTGACAAAACTTCCAATGGTAATTTCATGGTCATGGATACGCTCTGTATCCTATGACTAGTTTAATTGGAGAACTACATAGACCCTGCTATGGTTTGCCTTTTACGTATTTTAATTGCTCATTGTTGAGTTAATGTTTGGAAATTTTCAGAGCCTCAAATTACAAGTACATTGATGTTTGGCCAATTAATTTCTTTAAACCGAATCAAGAAGACCCCTTCGATACAAGTAGCTTGTTTATGCTACAGCTGGCTTGCATCATCAGAATGGTGAGATACTATCTGTCTCTTAATGTTTTTCTCCGTGCTTATTTACACAGTGATTAAAAATAAACTCATGTACAGGTGTAAAAAAACCCAAATGTTTTTAAGTATTTTACAAAATTGCTGCTAATACTAATTTCAAAGATGACTGGTCGTTCCTTCGAAGAAAGAGCAAAAATTGTCAGCTGACCTCAGTTTAATCAGCATATACACAGGGTGTCCCAAAAGTTTGCAGTTTAAAAGTTTTTAATGTTTCTTAATTTAGCTTTTGAAATGAAACTTGGGAAATGTTCTCAGGCCGAAGAGAAAACTACTTTTAGGCATATCCAAAATGTTGCAGGACGCCTCCCTACAGGAGTCTCGTTTCCAAAGCTAAATTAGAAACAATTTTAAAAAGGGGGTTATACAGACTTTTAGGACACCCTTTATGTTTGTTAGTATCATAAAATATCCGGTACCAGAAACTTCTCAGTTTTCTCACAGCTGAGACTTTTGCAGTAACATCAATGTCTCAAAAATTGGTGGCTACCGATTCGTAGCATAGTCACTGAAATTTTCTCTTTTATATGTCTCAGGTTGCATCGTGGAAACACCTCCAGCTACGAGTCTTTTTGTGTCATGGTATCACATCAGCTGCAGATGGTGATATTGGTGAAATTTGCAGAAATCAAGAGGCGATCTTTCACCAACTCCTTCAATCGCTGAGAATAACAGCCGCTGTTTATCAAGTAAGATCATTTTCTGGTAATCAATCATGAGATAATCATGTATCAATGCGGCATCAGTGTTCTTTGGTTCCAATTTTAAATTTTAGAACAAAAAAATTTGCCCAAAATCGCTCCTAGAGATTTTTACGAACCTGAAACTAATGCAGGAATTAGGTTGTTTTATTCTCTAGAAATTTCAATTTTCATTGATATTTTTCTGGTATTCTGATGATAAAAGAACAATATTCTTTTTTAATAAAGCACTATTTTTGTCATTCTCTAGTTCTATACATAAACATTGGTACAGAAAATACACAAACGTCTGAGTTTCGATTTGCACCTTGTGCGAGAAAATTTTCCAATAATTTTTTTTAACTAAGAGTAAAAAAATAATAATAATAAAAAAGATTTCTGCTTTTTATAATTTTGGTTTAACGCATCTTCTGATCTTTTCGTGGAGTGAAGAATTGAGGCTTAGATTGCGACTAATCATCAACGACAACTCTCATATTGGATGAATTTAACCTCTTGCGCTTCTCATCTTATTCAAGGTTGTGAGAAATATTCTTGAGGAAACAAGTAAGTAGTTGTGGCCTAAATGTAATTACATTGACCATTGTCTACAAATCAAAAAAGTATATTCCTCACTCAAATTTAAATTTCATTGCTGTTTTTTTGTTGTTGTGTTTTAGGTTCCCAGCTGGACAAAAGTTTTGTCATCTTTAGGAGGAAGTCCAATTTTACATAATCAAGGACCCGTTGACAAAAACTCAAAAGTGTACTTACAAAAGTAAGTATCAATCTTTAATATTTGTAAATGTTCATAGAAATTGCTTTTACAATAATCTCTAACATCTAATCATCACTCTTGCCCATCTTACCAGAAATCAGCTGGCAAATGACCCCCCCAGATTTCGTTTTGAGTATCAATTATCCAAGATTTAACCAGGCTTCCCTCACATTTCCATCTAGGAGGAGCCCATTGTAGCGCTCTCTCAGCTCAACCCCCAACATTTTCCCTTTTTAAAATTCGAAATGATTTGAAGTTTCTGTTTTCCATACACCTTGTCAGGAAGTTCCCTCGAAAAATCTCCCTTCACAAAAATGGGAAGGCTCTGAAATCCAGGTTTAAAAATGAGAGGGCAACATATGCTAGCATAGGAACTGCTTATTTCTCTCAAAATGATGGTGAAAATTGCGTGTTTTTCCTAAATCCACTGTGAAAGTTGCATATTTTGGAAAATCACAGCGATTTGCACTGCAAGGAAAATAAAAAGGTCATAATTTTAAAATTTTTGAGGAACGAAGAATTTTTAAAATAGGAAGGTCAATTTTAAAAGTAGGAAGCCCAAGAGCTGTCTACATTCTTGCAACACGCAACTTTTTTCTAGAAGTATTTTATTTCATTCCTAACTCTCCAAAAATATTGTCAGGGTTGGCTTTTTCAAAAATTCACAAGAATAACAATCAATTTCATTCAGCAAGCTTTTTTTCGTTGAATTTCAAAACCATGGTGTCCACAGTTAGCATAATCAAATAATATTATTCAATAATACCATATATTTATATCAGTCTTATCAGTTATATTAAAGTCGTAGAATTGCCATATTCTTGTTTCATCACTCAATTTTTGGGTTAAAATTCTTGGTCACGTTGCCGATTTTAGAAAAAATGCGAGACTGCAATAATCCAGTTTTCGTAGCTCTTACAATAGATTTTCCTCATAACTATAGATTGTTATACATATTTTTGGAAATCTTTACCTCTAATTAGCATTGATATAATGGTGTATTTTCGCTGCAAGCTATTTTGTAACAAGGACTGAAAGCTTTTTACCATCCTTGAGGATATAACTTTTTTTTTTTTTTTTNTTTTTTTTTTTTTTTTTTTTTTTTTTTTTTTTTTTTTTTTTTTTTTTTTTTTGATTTCTATAGACACTGTGATTTAAATCTCTTTTTCGATGTTACCTCAATATCACTTCAACTCCCATGTTTCAGAGTCAACAAAATGATTCAAGAGCAGTCCCAATCAACAGCAATCACTTTCGTTTACCTGCCTCCGCCTCCGAGAGATCATATGGATCCAAGTGGCAGTGCTATCGCAGCCACAAGAGAAAACTATCTCCAATGTCTGTCAGAACTCACCACAGAGCTCCCACCGACAGTGCTCGTATATGGCCTCAGTGCGGTCACTTCTACAACTCTATAATTTCCAAGACTTGAGATAGTACCTGACTTTGTGCAATTTTATTTTTCCGTATTTTTTTCTGTTTTAGTATTTTAGACCTTTAGTGCACTAACTGTTTATACAGAGTATCATGATCTGGAGATGCATTTGATTGAAATTATTTGAAATAATAATTTTTTTGGTGAACTTTTTTATTAGTTTGCTTAATAGAGGTCTATTGTCATGATAGGCTGAACTATCGGATGAAATTGAGCAAAAAAGTCACACCTACATTGCGGTATTTTGAAATCTCATCTATTTTAATTTATTGGAAGGTAACCAACCAATATTTTCGCTTAAAATTTCGTAAACTTAACATTCTTGTAGGTAAGAAAAATTGCATCAATTTTTTTGGTTGTTTTCCACCCAGAGAATGAAGATAGAACTTAATATTCTGAAACACTGCACTGTAGGTTTGAGTAATTTCTTAACTCAATCCAATTTTTGCCCTCTCTTTTTTTGGTATTTTTGTTTTACAGCTGTTTATTATTATGTGAAGTCAGCTATTTTGCATCAACTTGAGAAGTTATTTCAAGTAAATATGCACCCCTCTCAAGTGGAATTAATATTGTGTCTCTTACCCTATTTAAGCTTATCCATCCAAAAACTGCAAGGTCATTCCACATCAACTAAACCAGGTAAATTACAGATATTTTTTTCCAATTCACCATCAAAATGTATAAAATCAATTTATCAAAATTTGAAAATACTCGTCGATTGGTTACTGACCTTACGAATATAGAAATCGGCCGGAAATGCTCTAAAATGACGGGAAAACCCGATTTTTTGCACAGTAACCGATTTACCTCACGTAAAGTCACTATTGTATTCAGTTTTTCTTCTCTTTGCTTCAACCTTTGAGTACATACTTATGAGTAAATAACACCTACTAACGTGCATCGATTGGTTACGGATCCAAACGGAAATTAATATCGGCCGGTATTTCTTAACAAAGACAGAAAAAGCCGATTTTTCGCACAGTAACAGATGTATCTTATGCAAAGTCACCACCGTTTCCAGTTTTTTCCACTCTGTTTCAACCTTCAGGTACATTTTTTTGAGTAACCAACACTTGCTAACGTGCATCAATTCGTTACGGATCCAAACGGAAATGGAAAATTCTGAGTTGTCATGGAATAAGTTTGAAAGGCGTTGTAAAGGTGAGGCACCTTGTCAAAGAATAAGATGGGAGAGTAGAGAAATGAAAGATGGAATTTTGAAAGTGGCCGAAAAGAGTTGATTTGTACAAGATTTACAAGAATTAGTCACACTTAGAGGGATGTGCCTTAAGGGCTGGAGAGGCATGCAGACCGGGTCTGGTTAAAACCGGACAAGACCATGAAAAATGGGCAGCACACACTTACAGACTTGATGACGTCACGGGTGGTGAGACTTCAAGTCTGTATACGATTGGCTAGCTATAATCAGTGGAGCTATCAGTTGCAATTGTAGTAGGTAATTAAAAATTATGGGCAGTTAAAAAAGATGGTCGCAGGATAACAAGAAAAAGTGAGATTTGTAGGAAAAAAAGACTGATCCAGCCAACCTTATGAGTTATATATGAGACTAAGGAAAATAATGAAAATGAAATATGGGAAGTTGTTGATACGAGTTTTCCAAAATTAGTTGCTACAATTTCCGTTTTTTTCCCCTACTTCAAGCCAATGGTCTTCATCCGACCAGTTTATATTATACATTATGCAGTGGTTGGTTAATAAATATACACATGGAATCAGAAATAGACCGGAAACTGTAGAAAAATGGCTATAAAAGACGATGATCAAGGAAAATTCATTTGAATCGATCTATAGAAACCAATGTTATCATTATAAAAATCCTGTATTGTAAAAGTGACGGTTGAAAAATATGATACACTTCATCGATCCTTGGAGGACCTTTCTGGAAGTGGACTGGTGGAGGCAGCCTGACACTCCTTCTAAAAAAAATAGAAACCGAGGCAAAATATCCTTACAGCACTCCGATGGCTTCTGCTTATTTTCATCAAGGATATTTTGTTCCTACACGTAAATAATGGTTAAGTCAAACTTCAATTTCTTACTCAAATTCATTCACTCATTTTACTGTAACTTTTGCTGGGGTAGTCAGTCAAGTTGAAGTCTTAGGAACATTTTATCCTTATCTGGACATCGTTTGCTGACAGATCCCTTTCAACCGCCTCCATATAAAAAACCATCCATCTCGGTCTTTTTTGAGCATTTCCGGCCGATTTCTATTTTCGGAAGGTCGGTAACCAATCGACGAGTATCTTTAAATGTTGATAAATAAATTGATTTCATATATTTTGAGGTTGAACTGGAAAAAAAACGGGCTTTTTTGAGTATCGCTAAAATTCACCCCATCTTTGGGGGTCGATATCTTGCGAAGAGGGCGTCAGATGGATAAACCCTTCAAATCAGTTTCTTAGAATGATGTAAAGACCCCGTATACTAATTTTCAGCCAAATCGAAGGGGGTCAAGTACCGAGCCTGGTTGAGTTGACATGGAATGACCCTCAGATACTAAAATAGATAATTTAATTATTAAAGTAGTAAAATCATTTGGTGGTTATGCAAATGTGATTATATTGTGATATTTTGGATGATTATATTTTGAATGAATTCTATTGAAGTGTTGTATCCCCATTTCGGAATTATTATTTTTTTTTTTCCATTTTGGATAGTTAATCTCTTTCCACACCCAGTGCTAGAAATGGATGAACCGGTTGTTTTCATCTCCAAAGTTTATCTGGCTTTCAAACTTTGCAAAGAAAATATACTCCTAAGCGGCTTTTTTTGTTTGTGTATATTAGGTACTTAGCTAATGGTATCTTATTCACGCTTTCCATGCATTTTTCAGTATTTAATTTTTTTTTTCTGTACAGAATGGTCATACTATCTCTTGAAGTTAATTTTTAGGGTGAACTACGATTGATAACTAGGTGTGTGCTTTTGCAAACGAATATTCTAAGAAAAAGAACGGTTGATCAGCTTGCAAAGGTGCAAAATAATAAATAATGCTAACGGCAACACTGCAGCACATAATTAAAAAAATAATGCATGCAATATTTGAGAAACCAAACTTTTTCAAGTCATTCCCAGAAATTAAGTTCCCAGCTGCAGTAGTTTTTCATCGATCGTTAGTCAAACTCCTAATTTACTTTAAAATTGTAGCTCGTAGTTTTAAATTATTTTTAAGTTCACTTAGTTGGATTGTATTTAGCTGAAGGGAACCAGCACAATTACAGTGTTTTCAAAATTGAGCAACTTCTTTTCTTTAAAAAATACTAAATGTATTCACAGTATTAAAATTTACACAATCAATTTCCTCTGAAATTAACAAATTTTTGGTGGAAAATCAAATTAAACTCTTTGCTACCATGGAAAAATGTTTTGATAAATATGAAGATGCACGATTTTGAGAACACTGTAATTGCGCTGGTTCCCTTTTTTTAATGCAATCCAATTATTGATTTGGCAGTCTAAAAGTGTGAGTATTACATATTAACCCTGTATTGAGACTGAGCAAAAATTAATGTTAGCAGCAATTTAATTCCAGACTTTACTGTCCTCTGCTATATTATTTGTTAAGACGCAATCGAGATCTCTTTAAATGATTGAAATGGAATTTTGAAAGAGGTACCCCGATATGATAGGAGATCTTGTATTGTTGACTCCCTTTCAGTAATACCATTTCATTGATGGCAGTTAAGTTAACGCGGTAATGGTTTCATCTTTTAGAGAGACAATAAGAGTCAAATATTGTGAATGTGTATTACCCACATTTTTACGATTCATACCACTTCTTACTTATACCAACAATAATGTGCGAGACGTTGACTGCCATGGTGCCTGTGCTTAGGTTTCCATACAGCTATGTGATCATTTTGACAATGAATATTTTAAGCCTTGAAAAAATTTCCCTTGCCCAGGTGCGGTACAAGCTGCAGATATTACATAGTTTACAACTCTGTAATTGTATTACTTTGAAGAACCACTCAGAATCTGTCACTCGTATTACTTTATTTTGTCATCGTGACAATGAGACCTGTGTCACTTCAGCAGAAACACTTTTGGCCAGTTTTAATGGTAAACATGGCAGTCAGCAAATTAATCTCGTAACAATGTGAGTTTAGTAGGCTTTCAAGTGGAGCTTGTCAAATTATAGATTCCTGTGATATCACTGAAACGGACTATTTATAAATGCATAGTTTTTAAAACGTAAAATCACTTTTTGGTGGCAAAACTTTACTGAATTCTGAAAAGAGAATAAATAAGTGCAAATTTTGGGTCATCTCCCGTTCAAATCTTGTTAATCTGTTCATCCCTACCCTTAAGGTGGCTATTCAACTTTAATTATCATAGAAGAATATATAAGAATAATTTTGTAATTAAATTACTTCCAAGAATAAAGGTAGACTTTTTGCAATTTAGCAATGATTGCGAAAAGATGGTTGATCACTTTAACCTGACGTTCGTTTGACTCAGATTTCCATTGACCACTACTTAGTTTTAGGACCAAAGATTGTTAAATTTAACTTGACAAGAAAATAATTTGCTTAAGGGGAAGTAAAATTTTAAGAGAGCTAAATGAATATTCATTTCTTTATATATTTGCCACCCACTGGCACTGAATTGAAAGGAAACAGATGTAATATTAGCTGTAAACAAATCAAAGATGGGATTTAAGAGAAATTTCAATTGTATTACTTGCAATTACTTTATTATTATTTTTCAAATCTGATCCTTTCTTTTCATTTAGCATGAATCTTTTGTAGTCTAATTGTTTACGTCAATTGTAAGTAATCATCGTACTTAAGAATTCTCTCATTCATATGTGTAGTAAGTTGAGTATATATTTAAAATTGCTTTGCCTCTTGCCCCGTGTTGTTCAGCAGTTCTCTAATTTTAAATGTTATGTTTGTACAAGTAAATATTGAAGCACTTAAAAGATTATTCTCATAATTCTGCTGCAAAGGAAAGGCTTCTTTTTAACCTCAGAATCAGAATACTGCCTCTTAGTTGCTTTTTTACAGTCTTATTTTACTTTAGATATTGATTGAAATTAAGATGAAAAAAATTTGTATCATTGAAACTTACACTGAAAATTGCTAAAAATTGTAGCTATTCAAAGTTATGTGATTGATGTCTCTTGTGTATTTTGCCCGTTTCCATTCCGCATATATTCTTTTTTATTCCAGGTTAACAAGTGCCTTTAAAGTGCTGTTTAGAATTAAGTTTAAAAAAGACATCTCTGTATCGATTTCTTATTATTTTTAATCATTTATATTCTTCCACTCTAATCCTGTCTGATTTATGAAGCTCTTAAGAGAAATATAACTGTACTGTAAGCTTTTACCAAATGCTCAAAATTCTCAGTGTTTAGAAATTAAAATATAATTTGTATTTTTAACACAGTATAAGAAATGAATTAAATATATTCCTTTTTTAGGTGTTCTAAAGATTTTTTTTTATTTTCAAATTTATCATTTCAAGAAAACAAGAGGTTTGAATGAGGATAGGAATCAGCTGCCTTGGCTGAATGAAAATTTCATTTTTTAGACTTTTAATCAAGGAATCAATGTGCTCTTAATAACTGTAACAAAAATGCTTTATTCAAGAGTTTGTATAAATTCTTACTTTTCTCAAATTTCGAATTTGAGACAGCTATAAAATTTTTTTAACTTCATTATCAAACACCTTTTTTTTTTTTTTGAAGAAAAAAGGCACTAAAAGCATAATTTTTTCATAGCATTAATATTAGAAGTACATTCAATGCTCTGAAGCACTTACAAAATCAAAACAAACAAGATCAACAAAAATACTTTTGATTTTTTTTACTGTTTAATGACAAGAATATAAAGTCAGTTATTATCGGATTTCTCTCCTAAGTTTTGAAATTGTTGTTTCTATCTAATTTTTACACATTGCCCGTAAGTGACTGTATATTCTGGCTCAATGATGTCACATGAATTGGTATGAGGGTTGGCGACATTTTCCAAACAATTACATACAAGGACACTGGGCCTCAGAGTCTAACTGGACAGCATTAATAGAACAAAAAGTTGAAATATGTATGTATTTTTAAAGACATCTAACTTTATATGGAAATTAGTAGCAGAAGAAAAGTAATGTTTTTTCGGCAAACGCCATTTGATTTATTTGATCACATGCTACTTTGTGAGGTTTGCTATTTTTTCAACTTTGCGATTAGCATCTTTTAATTTTTCTACCATTTCTCGAAGCTGCTCCACTGTGCAAACAAAATCAATTGTACTTGAGGACTTATCAGGAGACTGACAGAGGAACTGCACAAAGTATAGAAGATACCCTGGTCCACCGGAACTATTTGACTGTCAACAGAGAAATGAAAACATGACAAAAGATTGAAAAATTAAATGGTGAAAAATATCAGTGGAGTTTTGAGATTACGCATAACTTTTGTCATCTTGCATCTTGAAGATCTTTTAGATGCAGCTTGTTACAGCTTCCTCATCAATGTTTCCTCAGAGATTTCAAGAACGTACTTCAATTCATTTATAGTATAACTCATTGACGTAATTTCCTCACAACTTCTGCAGTTATTCTTATATATTTCCAGAATGTCAAAAGCAGAATTTTAACGGAAACAATCAATTGTTTCTGATTAATTTTAGAGAGAGGTTGATTGAGGTATCAGTTTTTAAGAATTTACTAGTAGTCATTATTCTAATTCAGAAACTTGAAACAAATTATCAGAATAAGACCTACGGCCCAAAGAAGACAATAGTCATAAATGTTACCCTGATTTGTTATAGCACATGGATAATTCAAATATTTTGTGAACTTTTCCCACAAACAGACTATACCGTTTAAGGAAATGAGATTATAACTACTAAAAGAGAGTCATCATCAGTAAAAAAAATAACAAGAGATCAAAAAGTAAGTAGAAAAAAAAAAATTTACCTTCACACAGCAATCAAGTCTCCATTTTACATCCACAACATGAGGCAAACAATGATTAAACAGTCGCAAATTTTGTTGAATTTTTTCCACACAATTCGCGTAAATTATGACAAGTTCCTCTAAACGTGAGGGATTTAAATTATAGGCTTCCAAGAAAGATGAAAAAGAGGAGCTGCTGAGGTCATTTCTAGCAGCCTCTGTCAGCAACGTCACCGCTGAGGCATATGCTTCTTTGAGAGTGTCTTTCCGAGCACCTTCCAATTGGGATATATCTGTAAATATGTACGAACAGTTGATTTACAGAAAAACTTGGTTTCATAAAGAATGTTCTCTCACCAATGTTAATTGAGGGGCTTGGAGGACAAGGCGCATAAGTGCAGTTTTTGCTATTTCCAGAAAAACGTGTTAAAAGTTTCTAAATTACGTATATGAAGCTTTATGGCGGAGAGAAAATTAAAACTCACATTTTCATGCTTGAAAATGGAATTTTACCAGGGATTTTTCACAGATTTTATTTCAAACCTGAATTTAATTGGAATCACTAATACGTCAATTTTTTTGAAAACTGCACTTTTGCGCCTTGTCCTCCAAACCCCTCAATTAAAATCCTTGGATTTGGACAAAACATATACCTTTCTGTAAAATAAGAGGCCCTCTGTCTTGATGTTGACCTCAACAACTGTGTTTAAATCATAATGTACAATCAATAGCTTCCTTCTTCAAATATTTTAAAATCTTAACTTTAAAACTAATTTCGCGTATTAATTTTTTCATCCTCTGCTGACACTGAGGTCCCAGGTTTGACCCCCAGCAGAGACATTAATTACTAATATTTTTTAAATTTTTCTTTTTACTTCAAATACCCCTGAGGGAGTAATCCCTTGTTTATGGGTCCTAAAGACCCTCCCCTCTCAGCCCTTTAAGTAGCCAGCTCCGGGTAACCGTTGTTTGAGACCATCAAACTCAGGGTCACCTGGTCATGAATCGAACCCAGGGTACTCCTGATCATAAAGAAAGTGCTACAAACCACTACACCATCAGATACTTTAGGTAATGATACCTTCTTTAGGTGTCATGAAAAAATGTCAGACTGCGATAATTTTACTACGCGTGACGCCTCAAAGGCGGTTACCCCCACCAATGGATCAAAAAGATGATTTTCTTGTTTGAAATAGGTGCCTAGTACCCTCATTGAGAGATGGTCCGGTTGTTTCTATTTGGGCGTAATTTATAGCCAACAAATGCATTTCCCCTGCGGATTGCGCTTCACGAATGCCAGGGGGGCAGCCCCCGGGGGCTTGGACTCCTTACATGCGAGGTGCGGCAGCCCTTAAGAGTTGGGGTTCTTGGATGCCAGGTGGGGCAACCTCTGAAAGTAGGGCTGCTTGGATGCCGGGGGGCAGTCCCTGGGGGTATGACAGGAAGTCTGCGACGTCGCAAACCGAGTTATATGATTGCCGACTTACACCGTCGATATAAGAGGCTTTGGCCATGGATGAAAAGGCTATGCAGTTAAATAGCTTCAGTTCATCTTTCAGTTGATTGATCGCTACTCTTTGTACAGTATGAGAGCAAGGATCTGTTTCAACGATGGACTTTTCACGATCTGTACAGATATCAAGCTATTATTCTTATAACAATGGAAAAAAGGTATAGTTACATGAATCATCGGCTGCTCCATAGTTACTTAGAACAGATGCTGACTGTCTAAGAATGGCTTGGAAATCGTTATCCGATACAACTGATTTGTTGCAAAGTCTCTTCAATCCTACGGTTATTTCCTGGGAAATTTTCATGCTCTGTACTGCTCAGAAAACTGCAAAAAACTTATTCTATATTTGAAGCGTAAGGTAACAAACGGTACAATTAACTCTACGGATTTCAACTGGATAATAATTTTTATGTTTTTTTTTTTTGAGAATAAAAATGAAACCAAACACTAAACAGAAATTGATAACAAAACCTGTTGATAATACGGTATTAGGAACGAGTGAACTGAACCAAGCTCTCTGATTGGCCAGTGATAAAGGAATGTTGATAACACCAAAACCAAAACAAATAGAAAGCAGCATGGCTTTGGATGCTTTGGATGGCTTTGGGCAGTGAGTGAGCATAAGTCATAAATCTACGTAATAGTTTGTTTCAAGCATTGTTTCATTGCTTATTTTTCTCTTTCGACGCTATATTTTGTAGAAATAATTGAGACTCAATGTACTAATTTAAAGGACTTGCTATTTTATTCACATCATTCAGTACATCAATACCTTAGGCGTGTGCTTCGAAATCGCTCATTTAAGTTGTTGTCGTTTCAACTTGAAGAAATGCACATTATATTTTTGGGCACAGCCTCATGTAACCCCACTGAATATCGTGGGGTTTCCTCTCTTGCCATCAGATTCGAAAGTAAGTATTACTTGTCATTTGCATGTCTGGATCTTGTGGGTAAAAACTTCATATAACATCATGAATCATCATCAGGCAGAATCGTACTTATTTTTCCTTAAAGGCGTTCTCTAGGTTTTAGATTTCATTGAAGTAATGAGATGAATGCAGCACCCAGAATTGACATATCGAAGCCAGCAATAAGCTTAATGATATTTGGCTCTAAACTGATTGTGCAAATAGCGTCTAAATAAAGTTGATGTAGGGTGGAAGCATTCTACATCTAGAGCAGCGTAATCAATCATCATGTCGTGATGCACCCAATCCAGTAGAGATGCAGCAAATTGCATCAAATTGGAACCAAGAAAAAAAGGTTTGATCTTACATCTCTTCCTAACACTCTATGTTTCGGACAAAATTTACAGCCCATTTTCATGTTCAAATCTTTCCTTTCCACTTTGAATTTTGAACAGGAGAAAATTTACAACTACAATTAGGTAGTTGAACTCATAATTACCTCCTCCCAACTCACTTTTTACCGATAGGTGACTTGATGCATTTCTGTTGAACGTGATGCGTTTTAAGTAATTAAAATGTTCTTTCCCTTCTGTAGAAAATCTTGACGTATGAATTTAGATTCCTTGACATCATATGTTAACACTGTCTGGTATGGTATCTGTAGCTTTTCCTTACATTTAGGTATTCCTTTAACTGTTACCTGCCCATCCATCATAGAGAAAAACTAGAAATGATGAAATTTCAACTTTTTTTTTTTTTTTTTNTCTTGGAATTTTTTGATGACTTGATGACGTAGGTGGGTACAGCGTGAAGGGGACGTCGCTGTACCCAACTGTACCCACCTACGTCATCAAGTCATCAAAAAATTCCAAGATGCCCGAAGTGCAAATATTTCCTTTTTTTTCTCTATGCCTATACATAGGTAATATCTTTTTCATTGTCTCTTTTTTTTCTATTTACTTTTTTTTTTTTTGCTTTTTGCTACAGGTGGAGATATTTGGCTGGTTGATTGTGGAGAAGGTACTCAGGTTCAAATGCAAAAAAGTTCCATAAAATTTGGCAAAGTCAAAAAAATATTTCTTACTCATCTTCATGGTGACCATGTAAGTTTTGTACAACCTTTTATATACATCTGTAGTTAGGTACCCTATAGCCATTTAGTAATAAATAATCAAACACTTTACTTACTGTGATTCCTCTTTCTTGATAATCTTGATATGAGATCTTGATAATGAAGAAATGTCCTTTAACTTTCCTCCCCACCACAACTTTTTAACAGCTATACTTGAATCAACAGTAACTTGGAAAGTAGTGGTATGCACACAATGGAAGAAATTACAAGGCTGTCTTTAGTCTATTGAAAGAAAGATTTCAAATAGGAAAAAATATATTGCTCTTACTCAAAGGATTTGAAAGCATTTTTTAATTTTTGTCATTTAAAAGTTTTTAAGACCTTTGCCACTTTGTTCATAAAGCTGTTTTTGATACATAAACCTTAGAAAGTGCAGTTTTGAGCCAATTATTACTTACAAGTTAGTAGAGTTCACGATAAATAAGTTTACGCACTTTTAGACTGCGACAGAAGATCCGCCATCTTGCTTCTTGCCTTTACTTAACATGTAAAAGTGACGTAAGACAATCTTCTGTCACAGTTTAGAAGTATGTAAACTTATTTGGTGTGGGCTCTACATGTAAGCGCTAACTTGTTAACTGAACAGGAAAATGGAAACCCTCATATTATGGTCCAGCATGGAGAGGTAAAATAAAGATCTCTCATTAGCCAGCTACTTTTCTGTTTAAGATTTCTTTACATCCTAAAAGTTAATTGATATCTTATTAAACATTTTTCAGATTTTTGGGTTGCCAGGTTTATTGGCCTCGATGGGGACTATGACTGAGCGAATGGATTTTGTTCTGGAACTCTATGGACCTCGGGGTTTGGCCAAATATGTTCGGGAAAGCCTTAATCTCTCACGATCTCCTCTATCATTTAAGTACAAGGTGATTTACTTCACTTATCTCATGAAGCACTCAAATGGAAGGTTGCATCTAAGTATGGTGCAATGTTTCTGAGACTACTCAGAAAATATACCAAGAAAAATTCCTGCTGGCCTCTCTGTTTTTCTTCAGTATCAAGCAATACCATAAAATTAAATAGCTAAGCATAGCCTTTCACTCATTTTAATTCTATTTTGTTAGACGTTCTTTTCACAGAAGATCTTCCATAGAAAATTATAAGGGGAAATAAAAACCTGGTCTTAAGAGTGATTATATTTACCATGGGAAAAATTTTCTGTCTGCTGCACCTGCACTCTTTGAAACAATTTTTTATTTCTTTTATTTTTAAGGAAAGTCTCATTTTTCAGTAGTTTTTTTAACTACTAAATAGTGCGCTAATTCAAGCGGCCGTTGTAATGCCTGAATTCCTAAGGATAGCTTTGAAATTTTAAGAGAAAAAAAGATCTTTCTGTGGGTTGGAGAGTAAATCAGAAAGTTTTTGTTCGAAATTTTGAAATGTCATGGACCTTTTTTTTTTACAGAGAATTGGAAACTTGCATAAGTTAATCACAAAAGCACAAATTGCATACGCAAAACTGTCTTAAAAAATTGCAAAATTGCAGAATGCTCTTGTAAGAAAAAGTCTCCTCTTCCCCAGTTACCTCTACTTTTTTGACAAGACTTACACTAGGGTTCCCCCGATCCTGTCCTCTTAAGATTACATTTTGTTCTCATGCACTCCTTTTTCATTCGACATTATTACTGCAAATCTACAAAATTGGTCACATTTCAAGTTCTCACCAAATTAGTACCGCGAGAGGTATTTTCCTGTACATTGCATTGTATATATTGTATGTTTTGTATAGGTTATTGAATTGGTACCGCAAGACTCGCAATACCCTGGAAACTTGATGAAAGACTGGCCTGTCATGGAAGTAGATACAAATCAACATCATCCACAAGAAATCCAGTCAGTTTCTGTCACGGCCAGTGCCCATGAGGATCCTGTTTGGAATCTGTAGGTAACTCTTTTTGGTTTGATCCAGTTGAATCCTGTCCCAAATCACAGCACAATAACAAATCAATAGTTAAACTGCAAAAATACATAACTCAGTTGCAGTGTTTCAAAATCTCCGATCCTATTTTATTTTTTCAAAGGAGACCAAACCAACATTATGGATCAAAATTTTCACAGAATATTAATCTCATAGAGAAGGAAAATCCCCAAACTTTTGAAGAAGTGACGTTTAGTAGTCCTCATACAAAAAAGAAAGTGTGCAAAGAAGTTTGCAACTCCACAAACCGAGGTACATATATCCGCAGTTTCACCATCTTCTTGTGACATCTAAAATAAGTAAAACATATTAACATGGTAAGCATCTTAGTGTGCCTAGAGAGTAAACAAAGTGAAGATAATGAACAAGAATAAAATAATTTAAATGAAAAACTCTCGAGTTCATATATCACCCCAGGCCATTCTGGTAATGTGTAGCTCCCACCACTGATGTCCAGGCAGGAGCGCTCTCACTCATGCTGAATGTTGCCAGTTACTGTAACTGAAAAGCTCAGAACAACAACAACCACAATCAACAACAACAAAAAACAATCTCTATAACCAGCTTAACAGGCATGAATTGTAAGCAACTACAGTAAAAGCTCGCTAAGTCGAACTACGGTTAAGACGAAATACCGATTAAGTCGAAGTTTTTTTCGGTCCCTAGAAACGTCCATAAGTTTGGTGGAGTATCGGTCAAGACGAATTGTCGCTTAAGTCGAATTTTTCGTCAGTCCCTACACAATTCGACTTAGCGAGCTTTCACTGTATGTGCTCAGATTTTTTGTAGTTTTCTTCTTTTTGAAGGGGATTCAAACAACAGTTCAGTTTAGTCGATCTGCAAAACGAAAATAATAAATCTTACCATATATATGAGCGGTGAATTTTGCACTCCGCACTGTAAAAACTGATGGGGAGGGGTGAAATTAAATGAGTGTCTTTGTCTAGTTTTTAACAGTTAATTGGCTCTAGCAAGCCAATGTTATTTGAATTAGCATTGGTCTCTGACTTTGCCCCCTGCTTGCCAGTTTCCGTGGCATGGATTACAGTCAATGTGCCAAACAATGTCAAGATTTCAACCTCTAATTGTTCCCTATCTCCTGCATGCTTTGCCCCACATTTATCGCTATTCCTTTGGTACTAATTAGCACATGGTATTTTTCAGAATTGACTCACATGATGAATGCACAGTTAAAGCTAGTCGCATTGAGCATCGAATCCCATGTTTTGGCTATGTTTTCACAGAAAACGACCGACCTGGTACAATCAATGTGGATTACCTAAAGGGTGTGGGAATACCACCTGGACCGCTTTACGCAAAATTAAAACGTGGTGAGGCAGTCACCGCACCTAATGGCACAACTGTATCCTTTTTTCAAACCTGACTGAACTGTGGATAAGAGTCCTGACAAGGCGATACTGAATTTTAAGTGTTCAAACAAATTACTCTCCCATCGCCACTTGCTTTTCTTCCAGCCTCTTGTAGGAAATGAAATGTTGACACTTCTCTATTCCTGTCACAGGGCGACTGAAGCATAAAATCTGACTGTTGAGCGCAGCCCTTTACCATTGGCAATTAAATTATTTTAGCGACTCCATGTCTGTGGCACCTCTCCAGCTGCTGATGCTAGGCCTGATCTTCGTAATGAGCCTACGAGCAGCACATTTTATTGTCAGATTTAAATTTTAATATAAAGGGCCGTCAGACAAGTGTACCTTCCGCCAGAATGAAAGCACGCAGCAATGTATTTTTGCTTCGTAATTTCATAAGGAAACTGAGTCACACAATGGAAAGTCTGAAAATCAAGTCCTAAGCAAGTTGTAAGTTGTTACGATACGTTGGCCAAATGACAGACTTACAAATTACATCATTTGTGTAATCTCTCTCGCTTTCAAATTAAAACACTTGTTAAATCTTATTCAGGAGTTGATTTCAGAAATTTCCATTGTTTGTCTCGTTTTCTACAAAATATTTTCAAGAGAAAATTTATTTTAACACTCTCAATCCTGCAGAAATGATTTTATAAATTTTTTTGGGGGGTTTTACAGTGATTCTTTTTTCATAAATCTTCTTTCATGATGACATGTAGGTGGAATATTATTTTTGCACTGGCATTTTCTTTAACATATCCCTCCTGCAGGTGAATCCGAAAGACTGTATTGGGCCAGATAAGAAAGGGAGGAAGGCGACCATTTTAGGTGACACTTGGAATCCTAATTGTATGACTAAAATTGCAATGTAAGTAAATTTTAAACATATCAGAAACTTTTTTCCCGTGCAAAGAAAAGAGAAAAAAGCGAGAGAAGGTTGATGCATGAAAGTGAATTCTAAAACCAGTTAAGTTTGATCTCAGAATTCAGATATCAATGATATAGCAGAGAGAAATAGATGTGGATGATAGGCCAACACAATTCAACCAAACTAAAGCATTCCCTAGCACATTTCTTTCTAAAAATATTTTCTGACAAATGATGCTAATGTTGAGAATCTCAAAAAATCAATTACTACAGTGTACATTGATGTCTACTTCTAAGATTAATTGTGTTCAAGTTGTTGAAAAACTAAGTCCATCAATCCTTTTTGCCATCTCATTAGTGACAGCTACAATCACCAATATTGAATTTCTGTTCATTGCTTCTCAATTAAGTTTTAAAGAGGCATGCATAGTTTGAATCATCCTCTTTACCTCACAGAAGAGGAACTCATATCAAGTAATAGATATTTTTCAAAACAGCAAAAACCAAATATTTGTCAAATGAATTTGGCAAATGTAAAACCAGTAATACTCTAGTATACCTCTTGTATAGAAACTAGGCAAATTGAATAGAAAAAATCTACAAAATAAAACTTTTTAATTTTTACTTCGTGCAAGTGCCAAAATTTGATGAGCTGCTGAAACCTATGAGATTTCTAAGTCACAAGTTTGCGGCTCACAAGCAAATGGATAGTGAAATTGCCAAACTGCACATCTCGGTTTGCGGAGTTGCAGACTTCCTGTCATCCTTTATTTTTTAAATTGAGAACTATTCAAAGTCAATTCTTAAAAACTTCTGTAATTTTTATTCTGTGTCTGAAACCAATTCTGAGGAAACTTCAATGAATGATGTTGATTGGTTCTCCTTTCAAAACTAAAACAGGAGCGGATAAGTTTAAACAATGCAAATGAGATACATACAAAGTTTCACTGTCGAAACGGAAAGCCTGACTCTATACGTAATTAATAATCTTTAATTAAATGTGTTACCCGGTAAAAAGCGGCGGATGTGATCAACATCTAGAGAATGCCTTCAATTTACCTATTCATTATCTATTTTGCCAGGCATAGTGATGTGTTGGTTCATGAAGCTACGCTTGAGGATGGACTTAAAGAAAAGGCTGTGAGTAATGGACACTCAACCCCATCAATGGCAGTAGAATTTAGTCATAAAATTGCTGCTAAAACACTGATTTTAAATCACTATAGTCAGCGATACAGATCTCCACATACTCCAGTCCCAAAGGCTCTTGCACAGGAGCAGGTAATAAATTTTTTTTTTTGACCATGAACACCCAAAAAAATTTCATTTTTTGTGTTGAGAGAACTTTATTTTGTTGTGTGAAAATTCAGTTGCTTTACAAGAGAAGATAGAACTTTTTTATTTTAATCATGACTCTGGATCATTATTATTACAATATTGTATTTATACATTCATCCCTTTTTTGATTCCTAAAATTGCCTAATGACATCTGCTCAGTCATAAAAATTCTCAAAAAAAAATTTTCCTGTCACTCCTCTCTCACCAATACCTAATTCTCTCTTTTTTTTTCTCTCTTTCAGGTATCATCTACAGACGTACTTTTGGAAGAGGCCAAAAATGCTGTCAAAAACTATCCAGGCTTTGAGTGTTCTGTAATTGCATCCAGAGATTTAATGACACATGAAGTTACATTATAAAAGGTTCAAGAAATTCCATCCACTACATTTCCTGATTAAAATACAGCTGTTGATCTTACCTCCTTTTGTAAGTCTTTCATTCCTGAATTAAGATGATTTCAGAAAAAATTATGTAGGATCTCATTCAAATAAATGTACTTAAATTATAGCAAAAAAAAAAAGTGACCCAGTAATTTTCACCATGTTTGGAGAAGTATCAGGTAGCTTTAGGCTCTTTGTTATTTGTTAATCAAGAGAAACGCCTTCTCCAAGCATTTCAGTTTCTAAGATTAACCCTCGAAGTGGAAATGAGTTTTTTTTATAAATTTATATTTTAAATATATTTTATTTTACTATCTCTACTCATATTTTTCCTCACCAATTCTATGATAACCTTAAAATTAAAAGTTTAGTATCAGTGAAGAAGTATAGTCATGAAGTGACATTCTCATTGAGATGATTCACATTAAAATATGATCAAGTCGGCAAAACCATATTAATTATTAAACTATCTTTTGCGGTATTTTACCATCATGAAATGATTATGTCCAAGAGAATTCTGCTATAATATAAAGGGTCCAGTGTTCTAGCAAACGGTTGAGTGTACAGGATATGAGCCCTTATTTTCCAAAATGTTGAATCTTGGGAATGCTCAGGAGAGCAATTCCGTCGCATTGCTGCCGTTTCCCTCATGTTTAGATTGAGTTATGTGTGAATGAAACATTTTAAGTTTTGTAAAACTTATTAAAGTTTGCTTTTTCCTTTACAACTTCACAGAGTTCAAATCTACTTCTTAACATAATCACCGAGGAGATCCAAGCATTTTAAAAGCTGACCCTGAATTTGAGAATCCTTTAATCAAATAACTTAGCAGGTCTTTTATTGAATTCAAGTAAACTGGGTGGCAGTTGTGCATCCAGGGATTGCGAATACGCTCCTGCCAAGTATTAAACGAAAGAGCATGGCCATGCTAGCACCTTGTTGGACTCTACTGCTTCTATCTCCTAATGATTAATGACCTCGGCAGTTATGTACATTAGGAGTGATCCGCAATTTTATTTACCACTCAGTCGAGTAGCTCAAACGGACTTCTACCAAAGGCCCATGTCCCTTCCCCACCCTGTCGCCTTAGATGAACAAACAGGGTAGAGTGGCATGGTCATGCTTACAAATTTTATGGGCACCTTAAAACTTGTCCCATCACATCAGCGCTCAAATCCAGCCCTTCAATGCTGACAATGAACCGCCTTGACCACTACAACACTCTGAGGATGCTCATTAAGGCTTCCAAGTTAGGCTTCAAAATTCTAAATTGGTGAAAAGAAGAAAAACGCAAAAGGTTGTTAAGGTATCAAACACCAGGTTCTTATTATTCCTTGATAACTCCCATATTTGCAAACAAAGGTACGTAAGCGTTGGCTTAACTTGAAAACCTTGCATCTTGATTAGAATTTTTTGAAGATTTCCATCCGTTTGAATTAACATGAGTTATATTCATTCGCTCAATATTTTCTTACAATGAGTGTATTCTTTAAGAAGGATGGAAACTAATCACTGACTTTTTCGAGAAATTGCTAACAAGTTATTCTAAACCCAAGAAGTATAACATAACCAGACATTTTTCTCTAAAATAAAGCTTGGGGCCTTAAAAATATTTTTCCTCTGAGAAGTTGGCACCTATCCCATTACCATAATTTAATTCTATCGGGCCGTCTAGCGATGATCATCATTTTGAAATTTCCCGCCATTGTTGAAAATCCGGTCTTTTGCCGCCTTTTGGGTTGCCTACGTCACACCGCATACCCCTCACGTCAACAAAAACAAGATCAGCTGTTCGAAAACGTAAACATTGAACATGTATGACAGAAACGTTTTTTAAAGTGGCTTTCGAATGGCAAAACCTAGATCTTTACTTTATTTTTTGTGGTGTAACTACCCTTATTCTCAGTGTTTTAGTGTTTTTCCTCCTGTCTTTCAAGTATGGTTTTCAGTGTCTACAGAACGCACTCCGAGTCTCTTGGGCAACCTATCAGTTGACTGACACTGACCAGTGAGAATGTCACATCAATAAAAGCGGTTTAAGCCACAGATTGTCTCCAATGAACTTTTCAATCTTTTCTAAGAATTTAAAACCCTTCAGTCACCATTGATTTTGTTCATGTCATTCCTCAATGTGGCAGCAGCAAGCATTCGTCATTGACGCTAAGTTCAATGCACACAGAGCCCAAAATCATCCAAATTTCAGTAAGTTATCATTATTTCTCATTAAGAATCTTTACTTTTGTTCCACCGACTGTGAAGTCAAATATTGATTCAGTTTTATGCATAAGGCTCTAATGAAATTAAATGTCGGTTTAATTGTTACATAGGGACCTACTTTCTGATAACGTAAAAGATGTAGGTAGTCCAAGGATATGAGATTATGGTGCTGAAATCTTGTGAAGAACCCTCTACAAGTGGAGGAGGTATGCACACGTATTGAGCTTTTTGAGTAGTGTAGTATTTAGGCTCTCGAGGCATTGTCTTTAAGCGGCTATCTGATTAACCGTAGGCAGACATGAAAACTCCTTAAAATTGAGGACGATCCATGAACGTGTCTCCCCTACACTCTCTGGCAAAACTTGCTCTTTGCATGTGAAAACAAAAATCAAACTTTTGTTTGTGTTGAAACTTGTAAGGTGTGTAAAAATTCACTGACTGCTTAACTAGCAGGTAGAGCTCAAAAAAGGAAGCGCTACGCAAATATGCTATTTTTAGAAAATTTTGGATGAGTTTTAAATTATTATATTCTACATCATATATGGACGTATTTCTACCAAACGGAACTAAGCGCCATAGGGGAGGAAGAAAGAGGGGGGCTTGGATTGGGGCATTTGCAGAACGCGATTCTCGTTCCGTCCTATACTCGCAATGCTTTTCCATGGCACTTAGTTCTGTTTGACAGAACGCACTATCCGGGATTCTAAAATCCTCAAAAAGAACTCAAATTGGCGCTTAGTTCCGTTTAACAGAAATACGCCCACATGTAGTCACTCGTGCATTAAAGTTCTCTTTATTTTTTAGTTAATTTTTCATTGCTTACTTCCAGGAACCTTGTATATTCGTAGAAGAAACCAACTTCTCCGAGATTATTCCAGACCAGATGTAAGTGCATCATCTTAATAATTATTCATTAAGAGGTCTTCACAGCCATCATTTAGTGATTGATGAATTTTGAAGTGTTTTTACCCACAACTTTTTTTTGTTTGTAATTATGAGTTGAGGAGTGAACATTTCCACTACCCCTCGAAAACTATTTGCTTTGCACTGCTGCTGAGGGTTCTCTGGGATGGCAGGATGATTCATTTCAAAATTACAAGTAAAGCAGCAAACGTTGCTACTTTAAATGCGGTCACATCTGTGTAAAGGAGCCTAGTGTTGTGGGAGAAAATTTTCCATAACTTTTTGCAAATGCACCGAGGAAGGGATCTATTAATTCCCATTTTCTAGTTATCGTTTAAATAACCTCCGACCTTATGGCATTGTTGGCATCTTTAATTTATGAGGTCCTTCTATCTCCATTTTTCTTCAAAATTCAAAGCAAAGAAAACTATCATGAAAAGGAATGTGACATATTTTAGTAAATTAATTGAGATTATATTCTTTCTCTGTATTACTTATTCATTTCAGGAGAATGGTTTAAGAAGCCAGTATTTGAAGCTAAGAACTCAACTTTTGCAGCAACGTTACAATGTAGATTCCATTAGCACAAGTCGAAGTATCAGTGCCCGAAGCAGTAGCAGAGTGAGCTATGTAAGTATTAATTCTAATTTCTCCTTTTTATTTATCTTTGGGTGCATTTCAACTATCATAGAAAACTGAATATTTTCTCTTGATGACTTATGAATGTATGTATCTTGCTTTCTCGCTCCCCTTGTTTTAAATTTTGTGGCTGTTTTTCTTGGATATTATCAGGGTATTTTATTTGCGCTCGACTAAAGAGCAATGGGTACTCCCAATTGTCAATTACACTAACTTTGAGTTCACTCTTTTTTATCCAATCTCTTGATTTTAAAAAAATTCATATGTCATCAGAGGGAAATATCCAGTTTTCTATGATAGTTGAAATAGTGAGGAAGCTCTGAGTTTATGTAATTGACAACTGGGTGTAATCGTTGCTTTAAAATTTTACTGTTTAGAAAGATCCATTTCCATCCTTAATTTGTACCATAGAATATTAAAAAATTCCAAGTTAAAATATTTATGATTTTTTCTAGAGTGCTCAAGTATTTTATTAAAATAAACGTGCTTTGAATGCTCATATAATGTTTTTCTTCAACGTAGCAAATCAGAATTGTAAGCATCAATATGAAGAATAATTAAGAATAATTATGCAAAAAAAAAAAATTGAAAAAATTAAAAAAAAACCATTCCCTAAACCCAGGTAGGTACTTGTGCCTGAGATTTTGTAGCAGAATATTTTGTATAAATTTCAAGCCAGAAGACAGCTTGTTTCTCTTAGAAAAAATAAAAAAAAAAATTTTATTCATTAGAGTGGAGATTTTAAAACACCACAAAGAAAGTAAAGCTGGATTGCTGTTTTTATTGATTTGATGAGTCCTTTATTATAACGATTTTTACATTTTTTATATCTATGTGAGTTGATGTGCTTTATACCCACTGGATTGCCTGACAAAGAAGGCCATGCCCTGGTCGTTAGGAGAAGAAGTGGCAAAGGAGGTACACGATTTCTCACTTAGTTCATCGATTTGAAAGTAATGGTCTGTAAAGTCAATTCTCATTTGTTTTCATTTTGAATGTATTTCTGTTATTTTTCCTCAGATAAGCGATACTCCAGAAAACAACTATGTGCTCACATGGGACAGTCTCTATTTTGCATCACCACCCTCAGACTCAAGCTCAAATGTTATTCCAACTCACCAAGCTGAGGCATCCCGTGCCATTGTTGGGGATAACACAATTGCAGAAAATTATGCCTTCGTTGGCGTACACCATATTTTTGACCAGGTAGTATCACTTTTCAAAGTTTGCTAGAGCTTGTTCATCCTACACTATGACGTAAAATTCATCTCTGATTAGCCTCAAATCAGTAATAGGTTAGTACATGCTCTAGATGACACTATTGATGAGAGTTGTAAACAAGATATGACATTTGTCTCAATGTAGGATACTCTACCACTCAACTTGGTACGATGATAAGATCTAAAAATAATGTAATAGAATTATTAGCAGGAAGAAAGATCAAAGCTACGAAGAACTCAGAACTGCATCTTAGGTGGCACTGTTCAAAAGAGTATTTTTGGGATATTTTTTTATAAAGAACTTGGAAAAATGTTGAGTCAAACTACAGTCATGACACCTTTGATTTAGAAATTCCAAAAATGTATTTTTGAAAAAAATTCCTGTATAGTTTTTGCATTATCTGCCATGTGCGAGGCTCAAAATTATCATATTTTAAGGCAACTATTTGCCCTTCATTTGAAAATTAATGAAGTGAACTGTTTGGAACTAATTATTTGTGATATTGGAAGGTATTCGCAACAGAAAAATTAAATACTAATTTCCCAACTCAGCTTGATTAGTTTCCTTAAAAATTTTTCTGCTGTGCACTAAGATCCTTTTTACAATGATTGGTCACAAATATCCTAATTGGTAGCCAATAGAAGGATAGCTCCTCTGTATAGGGCAGCACCTTCAAAGCCGTATCTAATATTGCGAGTTCTATCATTTCAACTTATTACAGCAGCGGTATTGCAACTCCACAAGCCTCCCTTTCTTATCAGTTATCTACTTACAGGAAAAATTTCACCCTATCAGTTTTATTTCACGAATATTTATTGCAAGATTGTGAAAGGCTCTCTGCTGTGAATGAAGAGTAAAACCGATGCAATATGGCGTTTAAGATAATTCAAAGTACCTTTTAAAAATTACACATAAGGTGAAATTAACGGAAAGACTACTCTAACATATGCTCTTTTTTTTCTGTTTAAAGCATCGAGCTGCAGTGACAATGCTTGCTTTTGCCCACAACGATAGATCAAAACTGGCTTGTGCATCGTATGATGGAACGGTCTCAATTTGCAATGTCACCGCTTCTCCCCCGATCGTCGAAAATATTTTCAAAGAACATAAGTCTGCTGTTACTGGTAATTTGCCTTTTAAATTGTCTCTAACTTGCATTTTTCAAAAAGGAGTTACAATTTCTGGCTTATTTCAGGTACAAAATTATTAGTTTCTTTATGAAGATGAATGATTTTGTGAATGAGCTAGAAATAGTATTTGTTGTTTGACTAAAAATTTAAATGTTAGCCCCAGAATGACACCATTGAAACAGTATGTTGAACAGTATTTAACAGTAATGTTAAAAAGGGTTAATTTACAAACAAGTAATATTATCATAACTAAATATAAAGCCGCACGCTTTTCGAAGACTCATTAATTCCTCTACCCTAATTTAATCGGACTTCATGGCTTGCTGAAGAAAAATAGCAAAAGACCATTGACACATATGTCCGTTAATAATTAAGGTATAGGAATCAATGAGTTTCCAAAAAGCATTTGACATTACATTTTTTTTTGTTAATTGAAAGGGTATTTTTTTATTATCTCGATGTGTTGAATGTCCCAAAGTGTCAAACTGAGTAGTAGTTATGATGGTGTGAAATTCATGCATGAAAAACCACAGTTTGGAGTAGAAGATACATAATTGAAGTTTCTATATGCAGTGTTTAGGGCTCAAAATATATATATTACAATTTTAAATAGTATGAATTTTAAGGGTTTGAGTAATATATTTACAATTTTGTGTCTCTGTTAAGCACAGGAATAAACTTCACTGGCTGGAACTTTTTTTTCGAGTGCTAGTGAGAAGTTACAGGTCAGGACTAAAATTATCATTTTCGGATCCATGTAGGCAAAATAAGGTTTTCTTAAAAATTAGCCTCCATGTTTTCAGGTTCGTTTTTCTTCTGACATCGCATAAACATTTTTCTTTCCAGTGTTGAAGTTAGGTGTTAATTTATGTCGTGAGTCAATAGTTTCTCACTCCCCAAAGCTCCAAAATACTTTTTCCTCACCTAAACTCATATTCTTTGTTCTCTCTACATACTTTTTATCTAATTGTTCTGACTTTGGTACAGGTTTCGATTGGTCGGAATCGAATGATCTCTTGGTGAGCTGCTCCGTGGATGCAACGTTAGTCCTGTACGATGTGTCTCATAAAATCTCTTTAAGGACCATTCCTGAGCCTTCAAACCATAGCATTTTGTCATGCCTTTTCCATCCTATGAATAATAATTTAGTAGTGGTATCCTTTTATTCGAGCACAATCACCACCAGGTTGAATTATAGTATTTTTATCGTCATGTTTGTTGGAGGTGAATCTTCAGTAAACAGTCTAGTCGAAGAGATATCTTTGTTATAGAAGCTTTTTGTCTTGTTTTGATTCTTATCATCATGTTCAAAGAGTCTGGAAATAGGCTATGGGCAGTCTGTGATTTACTGAAAAAATTCTTCGAAGTTTTACGGAAAGTTTTAACCTGAGGATTGTAGGGAGAACTTACATTAGATAAATTGGCAGTTGTTTATTTTTGACTACCATGTCCAGTAAATAATTTCAGCAATACCCCCTAGAGGATGGTATTGGTTTTTTGGTATCCATGCACAATAGCAGCCCAGCATCATTGTTGCACTCGGTCAAACCTTGAGTGCCACTGGACGACTGTGCCAGCATTGCAAATATCTTTTAGACACTTTGATCATTTTAATAAAGACCATTATCAATTTCAAGCCTGTACTTTTCGACACCCAAAGCTTATTTCTAATTCTTCACATCCAAAGAATGAGTATGATTCTAAGGTTTTTAAGTGTGGAAACTGAACTAA